ACTATGTTAGCATTTGCTTTGTGCATTTAAACTTTTCACAAGTTCTCTTTTTATAGTCTGTCATTAGATTGACAGCATTTATCCGTAAAAACCAATTACCTCTTCAGTGTTTTCAATAGGTAGCAAACATAGTTTCTGTTTTTTCTATGGAATGAGACATTTCATTAAAATGGTCAATAAGTTTCAGGCAGATAATTTCTAGCATAACTCCACTCTAACAAAATGTTGATTCAATTAAAAATAAAAGTTCCAACTAATTTTAAAACTCTGAGTTAAAAACTTTAATAAAGTTAAATTAATTCAATTTACTATCAAAGATAGCCTTTGGGACTAGAAAAGGCTCATAGTGTTTAGTGTTAGAGCTCAAGCTCTTGGATGGCTGACAGCTAGAAATCTGGTAACTTGCTGCAAGGGGATCTTGCAGAGTGCAGTTAGGTGACCTTCTCCCTACTGTTGGGCTGGGTTCTGGAAACATCAGTTTTGGTAAAACAGTTGTTCAAAACAGTTGTTTTGAAAAGTTTTTTTTTAATAACAAAGCAAATGTTAATGTTAATACTCCACTTGTCCACTTGAGGTGTTAGCCTCAGCAGTCAAAAGACTACTACCAAAGTTATTACTGAGGCACTTGTTAAACGAATTTGCCTATATTCTGAAACCATATTCATAAACAACTTCTAATAAGCTCTCGAAGTACACTCTTCTCCATTCCTGTAAACAGACTGTATGGTCCTTAAGGCATAAATCTTATTTTCAATTACAGTAACACCCTCTAAGTTAGTGGTTTTTAAAGTGTGAGATGGGGACTCCTGTGGGTTCTGAAGACATTTTGTGGGAGTCCTCAAAGTCAAAACTCTTTATGATACTAAAAGTTTATTTTTCTTCTTCCATTGTCATTCTCTCACAACTGTACAGTGGACTTTTTCACAGCTACATAATGTTAAATGTAATAATGAGTCCACTGTTGCTTGTTAAAAATGATTATTTAACAATCTCTTTATTGTTTTTAAAAATTTGTTATATTTTAACAAAAACTAATACTTGACATATTAGTTTTAATTTCTAATACGGTAAATGCCAACTTAATTCATATAAATAAGTTTTTTAGGATCTTCAAAATAATTTTACGAGTATAGAGGGATCCCAGGATCAAAAAGTTGGAGAAACAGTGCTCTAAACAGAACATGCAAGACTTTATATAAAGCTTCTAAGAAATGTTTGTCATCTCAACTACTCTGTAGAGATGTATCTAGCAGACATTATTTCAGTCTTTGTACTTGGAATCAGTTAGTCAATAAACTTAGTACCCCTTGGATATGCTATATCCACATGACCACTATCATGTCTAAAGACTCAGAATCATTTAACTCTAGAATTGCAATAAAAACTACTTCAAGTGGGGTGTGGTGGCATATGCTTATAATCCTAGCACTGTGGGAGGCTGAGGCAGAATTGCCAGGAGCACAGCCTGCGCAACTTAGCAACTTAGTGAGACTTTGTCTTAAAACAAAAATTGAAGGAAGGGCTGGGGGTGTAACTCAGTGCAAAGGCCAGGGGTTAAATCCCTAAAAACACACAGAAAGAAAGGAAAGAAAGGAAAGAAAGGAAAGAAAGGAAAGAAAGGAAAGAAAGAAAGGAAGGAAGGAAGGAAGGAAGGAAGAAAGGAAGAAAGAAAGAGAGAGAAAGTGATACATCTTTGAGTAATACTTTAAAATGTAGAAAGATATACCACTATTCTAATATGGAAATACATTATTTCATGCATACTAAAAAGTTTTTAATAACGTTATTACTTTTGGAGAGAATAAGGTAACTGTATTTCAACCACAATCAGAATAAAAAATAAAGTTGAAGTATGCCTGTAATTTGTATGTTCTTTTAAATGAAATTAGCAAGCATGTTTTTTAAGAATCATGCCAAGAAAATAATGTGATTATTTTCTAAAAATAAGGCACAATGTTTTGGATATAAAGTTATAAAGACTTGCCAAGTTAAGTATACAGAAACCTAAGGAAAGCTTCTGTCCAAGTGTGTTTTTCTTTTCTCCTAATGTGCCTTAAGTCATATCATAAGCCCTACAAGTTATTTGTAAGCAGTAATCAAGATAACACATTACATTCTGAGAGAAGATTATTCTCTAGGGTCTCTCAGTTCTGAATTAGAGTAGTCTAATTTTAGAAGGTCAAAGTACTGCTAAGTAAACACCCCATCTCTTATGGATAAATGTACCTCACTGGATGGTATATTCTAATTATTTAGATAGCTAAGAGGAAAGCTCTTGAAAAATACAGACAACTTCAAGGAATTGAAACACTAAAGTTATAGCACCTTCATCACTGGATAAACTTCATCTTAAGTGTTCAGGTAAACAATAAACTGAGACACTTTTTCAAGGGCTATTAAATTACTATCATTATGCATGCACTGTTCAGGAAGAACAATTCTTTTTTTGGTCTGTAGACGGTTTATTTTAAGTGTGTTGAGCCATCTTTTACCCTCACCAGTCCCTGGGACTGTTTGGGATCTCCAGAGGGTCTTGCATGGGAGCTTCAGGGATATGGTTCCCTTGTGGAACCCACTCTCAATCCAGACACAGGCTTGAGGCTCTACAGTAATCCTGGCCTTTGCCCCTCAGCCTGGAAGACTCTGAGCAGGATAAGGTCTCTGGGAGTGCATGGACAAGGATGGGAGGTGCTTTTCAAAGACTAGGATCTTCTGTCCCCTGCAGCACCAGGCTGGCCCAGGGGTTCACTTAGTCCTCTCTTCTGGAGGAACCAGCTTGGCCTTCAGGGCAGCTCAGGTAGCATGGTGCCTATGAGAGGGCAGACTGGGCCAAAATCTCAGACCAAACAGCAAGCAGCCTGGTATGAAAGGTTAAGTGGGGAGACCCATACCAGGGAAGGTAATGCTTGGGGAGAGGGGGGAGTGAGAAAGAGGCAGCGACCAGGCAGAAAGTCAAATCTTTTATTGGGGCAGTGGGCCACTGGGGGCAGGCCAAGGGCCCTCACTGCACAGCTTGTTCATTGGTGCTGCCTCCAGAGTCCTGAGGCTTCATCACATCTGGAAGCTCCGGCGGGCTAGAGAAGGGCTTGATGCGCAGGGCCTGAAAGGTGTCATCTGTTGGGAAGGGACAGAACTGGAGGTGCTCTGACTCCTGTCCCAGGGCCTTGACATCACCTGTGGTAATCCTTTAAGTAATCCCTGGCCCAACAGTGGCTTCAGTTCCCACTGCTACCCTAGCATAAAACAAATGAACCTCACTTTCCTCCTTTTCACCTATACTTTCAGGAATAACAATTCTATTCCTAAATAAATAGTTATGCTTTGGAAAAATCCTTTGGAATGCACTTTTGTGGTTTTGAGTGTCCAGGTGAAAGCTCAATACAATGAAAAAGTATCCTAGATAATGTCTGTGTGTAAACATCAAGCTCATCAGAATGTATCTGACAAAATCTTATGAAATCTTTAGATACTAGAAGCAGCTAGGGGCTATCAGGTATTAGTAAAAATCAAATGAAGGATTCTCAAAAACAATACAACTGAAATTTGTCAATTTTTTCCTACATAGTGTAATACCTCCATGATTCAATGATTAGCAAAGCAGAAAATAATAAAAAAAAGTCAGTTTGTTTTTCAGTAACAAAACGCAAGGTGACATCAATGTGGCATATTTTCAAACAAATACGAAGGTCTGTGTAAGAAAGTAGTTGTGTCCAATTTTCTTATTATAGTTGGGCACTGTGGATTTAAAACAAACAAATTGTTTGGTCTTTTGATTAGATTTCTTCAGGCTTTGGATATTATCAATCTAAAGTACTGCTTGATATAATTGCATTTTCTATACTGAAAATACATAGTTGCATATAGGAAGCAAATGGTTTATAGAAAACTGAAGAAATGGTAAGCAAAATGGACAAAACAAGAACTGAAACCATGACTGAGGCTATCAATGATGGCTGATTGAAGTTTGGCAGTTGTAGCAATACTATTAATTATTTTATGCTACTATTTGCTTAGCCAACACTGAAAAACTGTCAGTACAATGGCTTTCAGAATGGACAACAGGCATGTATAGATTCCTTTCTGTGGGAGTTAAGTATGTGGTATTATACTGCTTAGGGTGGGACATAGGACAAGGGAAAAAAAGGGGAGCAAAGGCAAGATGAAAAGATTCCAGGATAAAAAAGCAAATTCACTTGATGTGGTAGAAATATGGACTGCTAGATATTAGATGAAAGCTGACTATATGTTAAAGCTATCAGAGATAGTCTTGTTTGTTTTGAGCAAACAAGAGGCATAAACACCAATAGCAGACCCCTCAACAAGACCATTATTATAACAAAATGCCAGTCTTTGACAACATCAGGTGCCTGCTTGCAGAAACATGCAGCATGCCACAAAGAAGTTAAGAAACAGATGCCTAACTGGAAAAAGGGTAAGTTGTTTGAATGTTGCCATAACAGTCTTAGCAATACTGTATGAAACTCAAGAAAATAAAAATACTGCATGCTCCTAGAAAAAGCCACTAGAATGAAAATGAAATTCTCTAGAAAAATATATGATTATTTGCATAAAATTTACCAGTAATATGGCTTAAAATGAAATTGATCAGTCACTTAGGAAATCCAGGCTCTTAAAAACATTATTTTCTCCATTACTACCTACCCTTTACCTTTGTTTTCTTTCAGAACTTCAAGGAATTGATGCTTATAATTACTGATGATTACAATGTGTTTCTATAATGAGTAAAATCTATTTGTGGAATTAGTTTCATTCTAAAATAGATCATCCCTCCCGCCCCCCCCCCCCCCCAGTACTGTGCTTACTAGGCAGGCGTGGTGACATTGAGCTACATCCCTGGCCCTGATCATCTCATATTTTAAAGGAGGCTTAAAAAAAAGTTTTAAAATAGAAGGATAAAGAGGAACTTTTTGACTGTTGCCCATTTCCACCGGTTCTCTTGCATCCCAAAGCGCAAAGCCAGGAAGTCCCCTGCTTCTAACCTCTTAAATCCTGCTGCATTCGTGCACCACCCATACTCTGTCTTGGGATTCGAAGAGAAGTTCTCAGAGGTGTATGTCTCTGCTCATCCAGGTAAGCAAGATCTTCCAAGTGGGCAGAGCTGGTGGCTGATGAGACAGAAAAGTTTAGTTAGAATAAGTTTAAAAAGCTTTTTTCATCTAGTCTGTTTCACCTAAACTTTAGAATTAGGGCTTATTCCAATACAAAATATATATGTACAATACATAATACATTTATTTTTATGCCTTTAAAAATCCAAGTAAATTTAAAAAACACTTTTTACTTTAAGATAGGGCATCATATCCCCAGCACCAAAAAAAAAAAAAAAAAAAAAAAAAAGATAGGGCATCATAAATCTGTGCTTTTTAAGAGATTCTATTACACTAAACAGAAGGTTATAATATTTCCTATTTCAAACAGAAATAAGTAAGCTAAAACATAAAAATCTCACTGCATAAAGTAGTAGCTAATGGTAAAAGTTATTTCAGATTTACAGCGAAAAAACAAAACAAAAAATTGCCAGGCCAACACCCTAAAATGCCATTTACTTCTAAATGCTGAATCATGAAAGCTGTAATAAAGGCAACAAACATGAAATTTCTTTGTTACCTAAACAGTAAGTGGGTTTCACCTGAAAATTAACAGTGAAGTGAAAAATTCATTTTACATGAATGTTTCAAATTATAAGAAATATTAAAGCATCTGTTTTAGATACTTGAAAATATTTGTTGCCAACTTATCATTAGTGAGAGTTTAGGTGAGAGGAAGATTTTCTATGGCTGCTGGGTCTTAAATATTTTGCCACCAAATTCCTGGAGAGTACTTTTGTATATGACAAATTATATGTGTTGAAATTTATAGATGACATGGTGATCCTCCTTGAATCAACCAATAATATATACCACTTTATCTAACAGCTAATTATAAATGAACTCTTTTTATAAAAATAAAGGAGCAAGAGGAAACAACCTAAAATTTTCTCAGCATAGGTATGTAAGTAAAGTTGTATCCCTAACCTCATAAATAAGTTGTTTACAGTGATTGACCTTGGGTAATGCTACGTATTCACTGATATGTTCATTTATTCACCCAATAAATATAACTTTTTGAGACAGAGCCTTACTATGTAGTTTAGATTGGTCTTAAACTCACTGTGTAGCCTAAGCTGGCCTCAAACTCCATGTGATCCTTCTGCTTCCACCTCCCAAGGACTGAGATTACAGTTATGCCTGGCTCAAATGTAACATAATTTTATGTGGTGGTTCTGGGGATTGAACCCAGGGCCTTTGGACTGAGCTGGGCCTGAGCACCTCCTATTTAAAATTTGAGATAGGGTTTTGTTGAGTTGTCCAGGCTGACAGGAGTTGTCAATCTTCCTGTCTCAGTCTCCCAAAGTGCTAGGATTACAAGCATGTGCCACTAAGCCTGGCACTGTGCCGTAACAATACCTTTACTATAGTTTTTAATCAGTCTATAGTAGTGGTGGGAAACTTATGGCACACATCCACAGTGGGCTGTTTGTATCATTGAAAGCTCTAAAAAGCCTTTCAATTTGCCATCACTGGTCTATAGGAAAGAAGATGACACAGCAAATATTTTACAAGGTATGTAGCATATAACATTTAAGAGAATATTTCTGTTAAGAGTTATAGGGACAGACTGTTTCTTACAGCTTGTTGTATCCAATAGCTATCTAAAGCTCAACTCTGTTCTCTTTCAAGGAGGTTGGATAGTTTATGCTTGAATATGTCCAATGACAGGAACATATAATCTCCTGAGACATCACATTTCATCTTTGCAAAGGTCTTTTATTAGTAATATGTTTTACTTTATTTCTCTACCTCTTTTCTCTTGATAAAAATGTTTCTTCTGTTTATTCCCAAAAGAAGAATGAACAACTTTTAAAAAATTAATTAATAAGGTAAAAAGAAATCAAGGAGTTGGACACGGTGGTGCACATCTGTAACCCCAGCACTTGGGAGGCTGATGCAGGAAGACTGCCATGAGTTCAAGGCCAGCCTGGGACATATAGTGAGTTCAAAGCCAGCCTGAACTACATAGCAAGCCCCTATCTCAAAAACCAAAACCCAAACCCAACCCAACCCAACAAGGAATAAACATTTTAAATTATAAATATTCATGACATACTAGGTAGTGTGCAACATGATTTTATTA